TTCTTCAATGAAAAAAATTACTTGAATACTTTCTAGCAAACCCTTTTTTTTTTTTTTTTTTTTTTTTTTTTTTTTTTTTAATAATTTGAGCAATTACATAGTTTTATTTTGACTTCAATGTTTCCAGCAATATTTGTTAAAAATGGTTCTTTAATTTCAATAAAGGTGGTTTACTGTTAAAAAAGATGAAAACTCATTGGACTTAAAAAAGTCTGAGACGCATAAGCTAGATGTATATGGAGCTAAAAAGTACTTTTTTTTTTAATAGCATATTTATATTCTAATAAGATCTTATGCCAGCCAGCTTATGTCAGCCACAAAAGCGTAAATGCTGATTGAGCTGACATCTCTGACAGCAGTTGGAAGAATTTATATTGCAACTGGGGGCGAATATTTTTCAAGAGCTCTCTGGCAACTTGAGTTAATAAAAAAATAAAAGGCAGCAACGATTGTAATTGACTTACTAATGCAATTACAAGGAATTTGACAAATGTCTCAAATGCAATTCGTCGTATAATCAACTTAGGCGAGGGTCAAGAGCAAACACACATACAAATACACACACACACACACACTCACGCACACTCACTTATGACATCGTATGTGGGATTTTTGAGTGAGCTCAAGCTCATTTGCTTAGGCGGGCTTATGGTTAGCCAAGGTCAAGCCGTTCCACAATTTGGCTAAATGTAATTGGAGCAGAGTGCGGCTGCTTTTGTGTTTGGCGCTTTTCTTAAGCTAAAATGGCAGACCGAGCAGCCACAACGGCAGTTGCAGTCGCAGGGCCAACGTTAATTAACGCCGTGCAGTACGCGGCGTATACGTAATGCGGCGGAATTACATTTGCCACACGCGCATTTCGTATGCACACAAAGCGACGACAAACAACAGCAACAAAGCCAAAAGCGATGAATGAGCGCAGGCACACACCCGCACTTACACACACACACACACCTGCACCAAAACACATACACACAGCCTGCCTCTGTTCATGGGGGCGCAAGAAAATTAGCCTTGAACCACCACATAATTGCAGCGCTGCCGCAGCGACGCCAACGTCGACGCCGACGGCAACAGCAACGGCAGCTGTTTGGTTTGTGCATTGGCTAACTCAGCTTAGACTAGGGTCACGGTCAATTAGTTTGCTTTGAGATTATAGCATAATCGTATCATTATTATTTATATTATTTAAATTAACAAACTTTTGTTTATTGATAGTACTTTAACGGAAACTACAAGTTGCTTCAACCAGGTATGAGGCATTTACCTAAAGCCTTGTGTTTATGTTATTCAAAGTCAACTCAAATATCTATTTTTGACTTTGTTATATGTACACATAATATATAAGGTGTATATATAAACAAAACTAGAATTTGTGTATAGAGCTTCCACGACAGTTATTCAATTGACTTCTTTGACTACCTATAAATCTAAGTTGCTTTGGACTTAGCTAAATTTTTTTGGACTACATTTAGGCTCCTTCAAATAAAATCATTTTATTGACTAATTTTATATTTTTATCATCTTTTTGTTGCATATTATTA